GAACTGGAACACAAACACTGGGTTCTTTAGCTGTTCTTTAGCTGTTCTTTAGCTGTTCTTTAGCTACACGGTCAGATCTAAAGCTGGTTTCGACTGCGTCACCTTGCCGTCCTCGCCCACGCTGAACACGGTGTTCTCATCGTAGCTGAACTCCACGCTGTAAACCTCGCCGTCATGAGCCCGCCAGCTCATGGCACTCTCATACTGCTGCATGTCTGCAGAGGAACAGAGACGTTCATCAGATCCACTCCTGACAGTGACTGAGAGTCATCCCAAAACATGAGTCTGAGCACAACGCGCTGCATGAAATCAAAACACAAGCTGAAAGAATCAAAACACAAGCTGAAAGAATCAACACACAAGATGAAAGAATCAAAACAATAGCTAAAAAGAATCAAAACACAAGCTGAAAGAATCAAAACAAGCTGAAAGAATCAAAACAAGCTGAAAGAATCAAAACAATAGCTAAAAAGAATCAACACACAAGCTGAAAGAATCAAAACAAGCTGAAAGAATCAAAACAAGCTGAAAGAATCAAAACAATAGCTAAAAAGAATCAAAACAAGCTGAAAGAATCAAAACAAGCTGAAAGAATCAACACACAAGCTGCATGAAATCAAAACAAGATGAAAGAATCAAAACAATAGCTTAAAAGAATCAAAACAATAGCTTAAAAGAATCAAAACAATAGCTTAAAAGAATCAAAACAATAGCTTAAAAGAATCAAAGCTGTGACTAAAAAGAATCAAAACAAAAGCTGGAATAATTAAACTCTAGCTAAAAGGTAAATAAAGCAAAAGGCTAGCAGGAAGCTAAAGTTCAAATAAGCTGAAAGTATTTGGTGAATTATTTGTCAATAAAAGTAAACAAATTAAAAATATTAAAGTCACAAAACCCCAAAGTCACAGGATTTCTCTCCTGAATGAGCCGAACATTTTTGCTTTATGAACAGCTAAAGAAGTTTGAGTCCAATAAGCTTAGGGAAGAAAGATGAAAGAGAAACAGGAAGTAAAGACAAACAAACACAGGAAAGATGTAAGAGAAACAGGAAGTAAAGACAAACAAACACAGGAAAGATGTAAGAGAAACAGGAAGTAAAGACAAACAAAAGGAAAGATGAAAGAGAAACAGGAAGTAAAAACAAACAAAGGAAAGACGAAAGAGAAACAGGAAGTAAAGACAAACAAAGGAAAGACGAAAGAGAAACAGGAAGTAAAGACAAACAAAGGAAAGAC